GAGAAGAGAAGAGAAGAGAAGAGAAGAGAAGAGAAGAGAAGAGAAGAGAAGAGAAGAGAAGAGAAGAGAACCTTTATTGTCATTTTTTACTGTGGGCACACTGGCACCCATTAAAAATGAAATATAACAACTTTATCCCACTTTCCATTAACAAAGAATCCTCCCAATATCTAACAAATATTACTTGCTGGTGCTGAAAGCAATAAAACTAGGATTGGCAAGAGAGGGTTTTCTTATCTTATTCTTCTGAGGCAGGAAGTAAAAGCAGAAGTAGGGTGTCAGAGGCAAAATCAAGAATTGTCAAGAGAGTATTACTGCTAGTTTATGCAACAATAGGCTTCCATGTCTTTGGCTTAGATATTTGGCTTACATCCAGGCCAAGCAAGAGATGGAGGGGGAAAAAACCCCACCTTCCTCCTCTCCTGTCATAACTACAAACAAAAACTAGACAACCCATGATCCATTGGCCATAATTTCAGAGATATTTCCTTACCTAAAACCAATAAACAGAATTGCCATAGGTGGGACAAAAAAAAGTAATGGGAATCAGACTTCCTGCTTCCCCACTGATTTTGCTTGTTAATAATTTTTATTAAACTATTATATGCTTTTTCTTCTTTTTATTTATTCTGTTATCTTCACAGGTAATTAAGTGGTCATCTTGCAGAGAAAATTTAACATTTTAAAGGGATGCATGATGTGATGTTCTATGTACCATATTGATGATCCTGAATGCAAAAAAGACATACCACTTCAATCATATAAAACCTTAATTCTCAATAGGAATGTCAAAATGAAATTTTGTTATTGTTCAATAGAGTAAATATCAAAGAAAATGTGATTTACTTGACTGAGGTTGTTGGAGGTTTTTTCTGTGACTTTTCTCAAACTTTCTGTCATAGGAGTTATGTGTCATGCCACTTACTATTATGAAAAAAAGAAAGACTAGCAAAGCCTCAAGCTGTACAGATTCTTGCAACCCATTTAGACATAGTGGTTATACTTTTTTTTTTTGACAAAACATCAATGTCCTGACATGCACACTAAGAATCAAGGGCATGTTTGCTCTAAAGAATTTGTATTTTATCAATTTGTATTATTTAAAGTGCAGCACATAAAATAATAGGCAGCTTAATTGAATTTCTAATCCAACCTTACATGCATCACTAAACAATAGCCAAAAAAATTGCACACATATAACACAACTGATTTTTTTTAACATTTGTGGCTCAGCCATCTCTCCCCTTCCCCCAAATCACAGAAACTACATAAATTGAACATATAATCATAGGCATGAGAGCTTGTTTCTCTGATATTTGGAACAATAGATACAAATGACCTTGTATTCAGCTACAGATACAAGTTAATTTCACTCATCCATATTTCACTCATTAATTTCACTAATTCCCTTTCTCAGATGACTAGAGGAATTTTCATTGGTCATGGTGACCCCAAACTTATACAAACACTGCATAGAAGAAGCTAGCTATTTTTTTCCCCAGATCCAATTTTCAGTAGAGCTTCAGAGAGTACAAAACATGAGTTTACTTTGAGATGGTCTTTAGCCAGCCTCTGAGATTGGATTGTGTAAATTTAGGTGGTATTATAACCATAAACTGTGAACAAAATCTTGTTTGCATTTCTTCACCAGTCATTTAATTTTTTTTTCTGAGGGGGAATGTCTCCTTTAATTTGAAGAGAAGGAAAACAAATACAAGAATTTGATATTTTGATTAATATAATAATATACTTACCTTTCTTTTTCTCAGCAATGGGAAGCTTTGCATCATTTGATTTTGCTGCCTCTGAAAAATACAATTTTCTTAGCTTGCAAAGTGCAAATTTAAGCATATCTTTCATTGCGTTAAGTACAAATGCGTCACTCCCCATTTTAAAAGATATAATCACAATATTTTTGCACTAGTAACAAGGGTTAGAATGTGTGCTGAATCAGGAATTAAACAAACCAGAAAGTTAAGATGAATAAAGCAATATAATATTATGAATGTTTTTCATTATAGACTTACTGGAAGATTATTATTATCAAAGTTCATAGCTTTGCAGATATTTAGCATTAAAAAAGCTGGATGCTCTCTTTATCATAAAATCACAGTTCATTGCAACTGTTAGAAGTATAATTCAGCCTATTTAAAAAGATTCCATGATTTTACTGCTATGCTTTTGAATTGTGAAAATGAAATCCAGTATCTATGTACTACTAAAACACTTGTTTATATAACCGTTAACTGGCAAAATAGTACATCATAGGGCAATAGTTTTTGAACAAAGGTACCTGAAATGAGCAAACATACAAAATGTCTCCAAAATCCAGGACTCATGATTCCCCAAGGAATAAAATTTGGAAAAGTTATGTCTGCTTCAGCTGCCAGGCTGGAGCTACACTTACACTCCCTCACTTCCTGAAGGAAAGGAAGGAAGAGTTCTAATGCTCCCTGGCAGCTTCACACAAGGAAACTCTGTGGGGAAGCTGACAGGAAATTGAAAGTTGCTCCTGCTCCCACTGCTTTTTTGCTTACCGGTGGTCATTCTGTTCCTCTGTTCAGATTTTTAAAAAAATCTCTGAAACGGTGATCCATTGGGGCAAGGATTGTCTAAAATACATATATGTGGTAGTTGACTAGGACTGAAAATCAATGGTGCATATGGGTAGATACTCCATCATGATTTCTATCTTGCTATATATTGTGCCATCCCACAATTGTCTTCAGTGTTATTGACCTTACAACACTAAGAATAAGAAAGGAGGAGGAGGAGGGGGGAGGAGGAAGAGGGAGATAGAAGAAAATGTTACAGTAGTTCTAGGGGAAATGGGAGGCATTTAATTAAAAAAGGAAAGAAAGAAAGAAAGAAAGAAAGAAAGAAAGAAAGAAAGAAAGAAAGAAAGAAGGAAGGAAGGAAGGAAGGAAGGAAGGAAGGAAGGAAGGAAATTTCACCTTCTCTGACTTCACTTGAGCCAGTGAAGGGAAAATTTCCTTCATCAGCTCAGTTCCCCTGGCATTGAGCCAGGATATTACAAGAGTTTTGTTTTGTAATGGTTGGGGTTATGATTGTGGTTAGGTTTGAGTATACTTCAATGTTACTGCCTTTTTATTTTTACTTGTTTTGTTTTTGTTACTTGGTTTTACTTTTGTTACTTTTTGTTTTACTTGGTTTCTTTTTTGTTTTAACTCTAAGTTAGCCAAGCAGAATCACAATTTGCAAGGTGTGTGGCCATATAAATAGATTAATCAATTTATCAAACATGTAAAATATGGAACTGCTAAGTAGATATTGATCAGAAAGCAATTAAGAGAGTAATGCAAAAGTTCTCACCAAAGCCACCACAAATACCCTATTTTTCCAGCTGAAAACCTGCTTCAGACCTACTACTACTGAAGCAAGGTTGAAAGTAAATCAACCAATCTACCAATAGAAATCATAAGAAGATGGGTTTGGAGCATGGGTGGTATTCAGCAGATTCTGACCAGTTCTGGAGAACCGGTAGCAGAATTTTTGAGTACTTGGGAGGACCAGCAAATACCACCTCTGACTGGAGATTTTACAGTATCCTTCCCCTGCCACTCCCACCAAGCCACGCCCACAGAACTGGTAGTAAAAAAATTGGAATCCCACCACTTTGGAGGTGTTCAGAAACCGCTGGGAGTGCTACAAACCCAGTATGTGGAAGAGCATTAGATGAAAGTGAGCTAAAGTTAACACCAAAAAAGAGAATAATGGTAAATTAAGGACCTTCTTTTGTTCACTGGCAACACTGAGCTCAATTATATGTAATGTTCCTCATATAACTATCTTAAATCAATTTAGCATCAACAAAAACATTCTGAAATCCTAAAATGGCCCTAGTTTAAAAAAAAGATCTTAGAAATACTATTTACCTTTTCCTTTGACAGCAATAGGAGGCTTCACTTTTTCTTTTGAGATATCTATGGAAATATTCATTAATTTGTTTGTTTTGTTTTGCATTTTTTCTTTTTAAAAAAACCCACATTTCTGAGTGCTTTTAAACCTTCATTTGATGTAACAAGACTATATATAGCTAGATCAAAAATAAAACCAATCATTATTATTTCCTTCCACAATTTTTACCACTTTCTTTGTTAATTCTATGGGCTCAAAGAGAATTTCTTCACCATTTTTGCAGTCTGAAAATAAACTTTAAAAGTCTTAAAACTATAAAAAAATATGTCTTTACCCTTTTTCTTCTGGGTTTCCATGGTCTTCATTGATTTTTCTTTCTCAGGCTCTGTGTAAAAGCACAGTGAGCAAACATTACTCACATCTAGCAATTAATAATCCCAAACTGAAGCTGCATCAAAATAACATGCAGTTTTGTAGCTGAATTTTGAGTTGGATATACTGCAAATTCTTTTCATGCTATCAGTAGTAAGTATCAATACCGTGTTTCTCACAAAATAAGTCCGGGCCTTATTTTTTTTTGACCCCTGAAAAAACAGCTAGGCCATCTTTTCAGGGGTGACTTAATTTCCTCCCCCACCTAGAGCGGCCCATATGCACGTACCTCACCATGAGGCTGCTTCTATTGGCTGACAAAAGCTCCCTGAAGGCAGAGTCCCCAGCCGCTTTAGGGCATGGCATGGCTGCCCGTGTCCCCTCGCCTTTAGGCAGACACTTTCAGGCGATGGAAGCTCCCCAAGTACAGTCACCAGTCACTTTGATTGGCCGGTAGAAGCAGCCTCGGGGCGAGCACGCACACACACTCCCCTCGCCGCAAGGCCGCTTCTATCAGCTGACAAAAGCTCCCCGAAGGCACAGTCCCCAGCCACTTCAGGGCGTGGCGTGGCTGCCCGTGTCCCCTCACCTTTAGGCAGTCTCTTTCAGGCGATGGAAGCTCCCCAAGTGCAGTCACCAGCCACTTTGATTGGCCGGTAAAAGCGGCCTCACGGCGAGGGGAGTGTGTGTGTGTGCTCGCCCCAAGGCCACTTCTACTGCCCGATCGAAGTGGCTGGTGACTGCACTTGGGGAGCTTCCATTGCCCGAAAGAGACTGACTAAAGGCGAGGGGACACGGTCAGCCACACCATGCCCTGAAGCGGCTGGGGACTCTGCCTTCAACGGGGCTTTCGTCAGCTGATAGAAGCAGGCTCGCAGTGAGGGGAGTGTGTGTGTGCGCTTGCCCCGAGGCCACTTCTACTGGCCGATCCAAGTGGCTGGTGATTGCACTTGGGGAGCTTCCATCGCCTGAAAGAGACTGCCTAAAGGCGAGGGGACACAGTCAGCCATGCCACGCCCTGAAGCGGCTGGGGACTCTGCCTTCGGGGAGCTTCTATCTGCTGATGTTCTATTGGTAGATCGGGGTATTCTAGCCTAGGCGACCTGCAGGGCACTCCTAAAGGCAAGTTTTCTCCCCTCCGCCCTTCCCCCCCCATTTCTCTTTACCTTGTGTAGTTCTAACAAACAATGTGAGAAATGGCAGGGAAACGCATGGTTTAAATAGGCCTAAATTTTGGGAGTGGGGCTTAATTTCACCTCGTGCCTAGAAATCATGCTGAGCCTTCCTATTGGTGGAGGCCGTATTGTTGGAGAAACACGGTAGTTAAAATCATGACTGGAATCTAACTTTTTTCAAGCAGGGATTGGAAAAGAACTGCACTTATGCAACTCTTTTCATGATTACAGCACATTTCCTTTGACTGAAATGTATTCCGTTCATAAAGAACATTAGATGCTTCTGCATGTAAGCATCAAAGCAATCCCAACCTTATGGCTTGATTATCTAAAGATTTTTGCTACTATACAAACAACAGGTGACCAATCAGGCTGAATGTCAATAATGGATGGTGTTGCCTTTTGACCTTTCAGATTCCAGAATTAGTAATGCTTTGACAGAAGTACAGGGGGCAGAAATAGATGGACAGAAATAAATGGGGAATGATGTCTTGAAAGTCTCCCGGTCATTTCAGATCTTCTTGTATCTCACTCAACTGGAATGAAAGAAGATTGTAGCTTGCAGCAATCCTAATTGCATTCAATTATAATTTGCCTGACTCGATGTGGCATTTTAAATGCAAGACTTTTAAAAGTCACGGAAAAGTATAACACCAAGCAATGAGTTGTGGAACCTATTTGCTAAGACAAGTCTCTGTGGGTACTAGATACTCAAATAATTTCCTACTTGCCTGACAATGTCTCGATATACAAGGATGGTTATACTTTGTCAGATCATAAATTCTTTTACTTAATTAGAAGCTGCATGTTTCATACTAGCTTCCAGTTGCTTTATTTAAGATTTCATTTATTTAACAGCAATTATAATCTATTCCTACTCTAAAAGAATTCTGGGTGGCTAATAACAACATACAAATCAGATTAAAATATAAGAAACAATCTCAAACCACAAAACAACAATATACATGATTGCTGTTGCCAAAAATTGTTGTAATACCAAGGAGGATTTGTCCTCTCTTTCTTTCTTGTGTAAAATAGCTTCCCTTTTGCCATTCCTGTGCATGGCATAGCAAAGTAAAAATTTAGATTTCGAAAAGTAAGTTCACTTTCACTTTCTCTACCAGTTTGCTCCTCATAATCCTCATGCAGGTAAGCTCAAGAGTTAATTTTTTTAAATCTCAAAACTACTTTGCCAAGGCCAGCCATTGAGTAGCGAGAATGTGATGAGTGAACTGGCATTGATAACTTTTAGGCAAGAAAAGATAAACAGCTATTGTGGTTTATTAGAAGTATGAACTGCAAGAGGTATAAGGTAGCTAGATAGAAGCTACCTTGAGAGGAGCTTTATTATACGCCTGTTCAGGAACACTGTTATCATCAGCTGGGACCATGATCACCTTTGTGAAGGATAAGGGGCTTCCAAATGCCAAGGGGATGTGAAATTCTATTTGTATTCCTCTATAGGTAGTCCTTGACTTATGACTGTAATTGAGCCTAGAATTATGGTTGTAAGTCACTGAGACTGTAAGTTAAGGAATTACGTGACCACATTTTTTGCAGCATTTGATACGTGAACACCAGTGGTGGGATTCAAATTTTTTATTATCGGTTCTGTGGGCGTGGCTTGGTGGGCATGGCAGGAGAGGGATACTGTGTAAAATCTCCAGTCAGAGGTGATATTTGCTGGTTCTCCAAACTACTCAAAATTTCCACTACCGGTTCTCCAGAACTGGTCCAAACCTGCTGAACACCACCTCTGGTGAACACCATAGTCATTAAAAAAAGACCATTTTCCCCAATGGGCACTTTTTGGCAGAAACTGAAAATAAGTGCCAGAAACCAGGGGAAAAAAACATTACAAATCATGATTAGATGACCATAGGACACTGCAAATGGCTGTAGAGGGGAGAGGATTACCAATGCCCAAAATGAAATCACGTGACTGTGACATGTGCATGCAGAGCCATCGTAACTTCAAATCAGGTTATAAATAGTTCTGGAGGGGTCTAGCACAGGGGTTTCCAACCTTGGCAGCTTTAAGACTTGTGGACTTCAATTCTCTCTGGGAGTTGAAGTCCACAAGTCTTAAAGTTGCCAAGGTTGGAGACCCCTGGTCTAGCATAACTTTGAACAATCATTAAGCAACCAGTTATACTTCAAGAACTACCTGTATTGAATGTTGCAGAATCTCCTTTCATTGTCCCGCCTGCAAATGTGTCCCATCTATGTTATAGTTTGCAGTTGAAATAATTATTTTGCTTTGCTTTCTTCAGTGAATCTGTTTCGCTTCGCTTTCACATTGTGCGCATGCTGCATACAAATCCCAAAATCTCTTGCCGGCATTTTACTACAGTGAAACAATAGATTGCAGGTAGTCCTTGACTTACACCCACAATTGAGCCCAAACTTTCTGTAGCTAAGCAAGACATTTGTTAAGTGAGTTTTTTCCCCATTTTATTACTTTTCTTGCCACCTTTGTTAAGTGAATCGTTGCTGTTGCTAAGTTAGTAACATAGTTGGTAAGTGAATGTGGCTTTCCCATTGTCTTGTTAGATGGTCACAAAAGGGGATCAGATGACCCTAGGACAACAGTAACTGTCATAAGTATGAGTCAGCTGCCAAGCATCTTGACTTTTGATCACATGACCATGGGGGTGATGCTATGGTCCTAATTGTGAAAAACAGTTATAAGTCACTTTTTTCACTGCTGTTGTCACTTTGAACTGTTTGAACTTTGAACTAAATGAACTCTTGTAAGTCCATTTGTACTTGTACTCATTTTGTAATGTAATTTATTATGTTTGTAGTTTCCTTTTTATGCCAACAATCATCTTTTCAATGCCACACGTGATATTAGGGCCTAAAAAAACACTTTTCCTTATTATCCTGGCAATAGTATGTGTTACGAACTAACTAAATAAATTCATTATTAAAAACTCTTCGAGCTTCGCTCCAACTGTAGGCTCGTAAACCTGCAGTTCGGATTGGTCCGCAAGTAAGCGATCATAATTGGCTGCCTTCGGCTAACCTGATTGGCTGACAGCGGCCGTCCCGGATTGGAAGACTAAGTGCGGTTAAACTCGTTCTCATTGCTTATTGCGGCAGCAGCCAGCTCTATAAAAGAGCTGCTGCTGCCCAAGTTGGTTGCTCTGTTCTGAAGTCACTATTAAAGAGTTGTGTCACTACCCGATGCCTTGTCTCCGTTATTACGCCCACTCCTCCAAACATAACACTGGTGACGAGGATGGGATGCGGAGACAATAGAGCCAACTGAGCACTCGCTGTGCACCGAACAGAGCACGTGGCTGAAAGAGAGTCAACAACGGCAAGATGGCCAGCGGCGCCATACCACCCGCTCCATTTGACCCGGCTAACGAAGACTGGGACTCGTATATGGACAGGTTCCAGATGTTTTTGGAGACCAACAACCTAAAGGATGCTTCACCTGGCAAGAAACGAGCGGTCTTCCTGACCCATTGCGGGCCTGCCATTTTCAAAATTGCTAAGGCACTTGCAAAGCCTGCAGAGGTTAAGTCAATGGATTGGGATAACCTCGCTCCTATTCTTCGGGCCCATTATGCACCCGCGGTGCCAATCCTCATCAGAAGACATGAATTTTACCAGAGGGACCAACGGAAGGGCGAGAGCGTTGGAGACTTCATCGCTGACCTCCGGAACCTAGGTGGACTCTGTGGTTTCTCAAACTTCGAAGAAGCTATGCGAGACCGCATAGTTCTGGGATTAGATGACCACACGGCACAGAGCAAGATCATGGCCAAGAGGGACATCGATCTTGCCGATGTCATCGCTGATGCTACTGCAGCAGAGGCAACCAGGA